ACATTCCTAAGGCAAGGTTGGGACAGCCAAGATCAAAAAGCATGAAAGTTAAGTTAAATGAGGGAATATAGGAAAATGGATATAATAACAATGCAAGTGTGAGAACCTAATTCAATGGGCTGTGGATTTGTAAGAGGAGGAGAAACCTGAGCTTGGACTGTCTTTCCATGCAATATCTTGCACTGCCTAAACACTATAGAGAGATCTCACTAGACACAACTGCCCAGTCATGAACTTCTCAATCTTCAGAACTGTGAGCCAGTTACTGTGATACTTAATTATAGCAACAGAAAATAGTCTAATACATGGCTATATACTTGAAACAACTGAAAGCAAGATCTCAAAGAGGTACTGTAGCTTGTGTTCATAACAACATTATTCACAATAGCTAAAATATGGAAGTAATCCAAGTGTTCATCAACAGATGTGGTATATGCATATAATGGAATACTATTTAACCTTAAAAAGAAAAGAATTTCTAACATACTTCATAACACCTTGAGGACATTATGCTAAGTCCTCAAGAAACAAGCCAATCACAATAAGACAAATAATGTTTGATTCCACTTAGATGAACTAGTGAGAGTGGTCAAAATCATAGAAAAAGTGGAATGGTGTTGCCATAGGCTGGGGACACAGAGAAGAGGGAGTTAGTGCTTAATGGGTACAGAGTTTCAGCTTTACTGTTATGGAAACAGATGATGGTGATAGTTGCACAGAATTTTGAATGTGTTTAACATGATGACTAAGCTGTAAAAAGAGTCCAGATAGTAATTTTTGTTGTACATATTTGCCACAATTTAAAAAAAAACTTTTAAAAGTATTTGAATAGTATCAGTAAAACATGCCCTCTCCAATTTTCCATAATCCCCACCATATTGTATTCTACTCAGTATTCTCTTCCAAGTAGGTAGCCTGGACCCTTAAGGATATGCCATGAAGGAGTGAGCCTGGTAAGCAGGGTGACAGAGTGTCCCAGCTAAACAAATGTCCAGTGCAGAGAGAAATCATGATATTTTGGAGCAATAAGAAGATTCAAGTGGCCAAAGTGTGCAGGGAGACCATAAGATTCAACTCCCTTATATAACAGATGGGGAACTTGTCCCCAGAGAGAAGAGACTTCCTCAAGTCACACAATTAATAAATGGTAGTCTGAGGACCAAACCCAATCTTCTTCCCTCTCCAATGGCCAACTCTTCCGTGAAGCCCTTTCCTTTTATCCAAAAGTCCTACTCATCCTAAGTGAAGTCCCAGGGAATGTCCAGGAATCTAGGCCTATTCATACCCCTACTCCAGGGATTCAGAAAAATCAGGCAAGAGGCTCTGCTCCCAGGGATTGCTCCACAGCATACTCTGTGACTTCCCTGAACATGAGTCAGGGCTGAATTTAATAGCTGGCAAGTTTCGAGGGCTGAGTTCAGAACTCATCTGTCTGTACTTTCCTGGAGGGTGTGACAGATAAATACCTTACCCAGCCACTCAGGATGCCCAGAATTTCACCACTAGCTCTTCTTTCCTCTGGACTGTGTTTAAATGCAAATACCTTTGTTATTAAGGTAACATCATTACCTTAGTCCTTGTGTTGCCTAAAATCTGGGAAATCAGAATCAAAACAAAACTGAATGCCGTTTCGCTACATTAATAATGAGAAGCATGAGTCTAGAGAGAAGGGACAGGGCCATGATTATCTAATGTCAAAGCTAGGGTAAAACCAAACCTGTTGTGTTAGTGAGTTTTCTATTGCTGTGACAAAACACCAAAAGATGAACAACTTACAAAGAGGAAAAATTTATTTTGGATTATGGTTTCAGAGGTTTCAGTCCAGGGTCACTTGCCCTGTTGCTTTTGGACCTGCGGAGAGGCAGTACCTAATGGTAGAAGCACATGGTAGAAGAAACCCATTCATCTCATAGCAGGGAAGAAGCAAAAAGAGAGAGGGGAAGGGGCTAGAGCCCCAATATCTCCTTCAATATGTCCCCAGTGATCTAACTTCCTTCCACTAGATCCCACCTCTTCAAGGTTCTACTGTCTCCCAACAGCACCACAGGCTGGCCACTAGGCCTTTTGCCTGTGGGTACATGGGGGACATTGAGAAGCTAAACCACAACACCTGGTCTCCTGATTTCTGATCAAGGACTCTTTCTATCACTCTCTACTGTTTCTCATTAAGTAGTGTCCTCCTAATGTTTTCTGGGAAGAGCAGAGGTGGGAAAGAAAAGGGGACCTCACAGATACAGGGAAAAACATCAAGGAAAAAAAAACAATAACTTGGCTTTACTATAATTTTTCAAGTCTGGTTAGTTAATTCTTTGATTCAACATGTATTTATTGAGAATCTTCTATGTTTCAGATACTGTGGGGCATGGTGAGGGTAAAACAGTTGTATTCCCTTTCCCAAGAAAACTTCCAGGGTAGTACCTCCAGCTGACATGATGAATAATTTCTCCCCCTACCTCAAATCTCCTTTGCTAAGTCAATCAACAAGCTCAAAATCCTTAACTCGATGCCTTTTTCTACTATGGGAACACTGTTCCCTTATCTCATTAATTCTCTCATACACACAAATTTAAAAATGATGAAGGCATCATCACCCATTTTACAAATGAGGACATTAGAGCTTCCTTAGTTCAAGCATCCTTGTTTCTCTCTCACTTGAACCACCTTCTTCTCAGACTCTTGGGTAGTTTGAGAAAGGATCTCACAACCTCATCTCTTGAACCTCTCCTCGTCCAGTCTACAAACAAGAAACAGAAAGTGTCTTGTAAAAATCTCTGTGATGAACAAGAGAGCCAGACTGAAGCTCTCCCTTTCTAAGGCTGTTTCCATTACATCATACTGACATCTTTGGAGCCTCAGGGCAACCTGAGAAGATGAATTCTTGACTAGAGCCTCCTAACTCCTAAAAGGAGCCTGTCAGGATTAGAGCAAGGAACAGCATCCAATTAAGGTTCTCTCAGGTAAAGATTCTGAGTCAAGGACCAGGGAAAATCCCGGCTATCCTTATTTGTGAACATCTCCTGAATTTTTTATTTCTAACTTGTTCAAAAATTCTCATCTAGACTATGTCAAAACCTGCACTGAACCTGTTTGATTTTATGATTACAGAGCCACTTTGGGATATTTTCCATGTGAACTCTTTGCTTGGAAAAAAGACATGGCTTTCCAGCTTTTTATCTTAAAGCTGGTAATTCTGATACATGCTACAATGTAGTTGAATCTTGAAAACATTCAACATTATATGAGTTACTTAAGACAGTAAAATTCATAGAGATAGGAAGTAGAGTCATAGTTGCTAGGTGCTAGAAAAAGGGCAAGTAATGTGGAGTTGAATTGTTTCATGGATACCGAGTTTCTGTTTGGAATGAAAAAATTCTGGAAATAGGAATGATAGTTGCACAACATTGTGAGTGTACTTTAATCTACTGGTCAATACACTTAAAAATGATTTGGGCTCAGCTGAGGATATAGCTCAGTGATAGATCTCTTGCTTAGTATGCATGGGTTCAATCCCCAGCACCACAAAACACAATAACAAAGATCTAATCAGGTCTATTTGTAAATTAAAAATGGTTTGGGTTAAGGCACTAATTTTTAAAAAAACTAAAAATAGCCATGCAAAGCAGCACATTTTTGTAATCCTGGCGAATCAGGAGGCTAAGGCAGCAGATTGTGAGTTTGAGGCCAGCCTAGGCAATTTAGTGATGCCCTAAGCAACTTAGTGAGACCCTGATTTAAAATTAAAAAATAAAATGGGCTGGGGATGTGGCTCAGTGGTGAAGCACCTCTGGGTTGAATCCTCAGTAACAACAAACAAACAAAAACTAAACAAATGTAAGAAAGACCAATAGAGTAGACTAAGAGAAACAGGGGTAGTGAGGAGGAAATGGAAAGAGGAAGAACTGGGGACTGAAGCATAGCAAACTGTATTCCATTTTTGTATGATTATGTCAAATAAACCTCTCCTCTCTCTCTCTCTCTCTCTATATATATATATATATAGAGAGAGAGAGAGAGAGAGAGAGATAGATAGATAGATAGATAGATATTGATATATATTGATATATTGCACTAATAATAAATGAAAACAGAATAAATAACTAACTGCAAATTGGTGCAACCACTCTGGAAAGCAGTATGGATATTCCTTAATGGAATCACCATTTGTCTCAGTTATCCCACTCCTAGGTTTATACCCAAAGGACTTAAAATGAGCATACAGTTATGCAGATACATCAATGTTTAAACAGCTCAATTCACAATAGCCAAGCTATGGAATCAACCTAGGTGTCCTTCAATGGATGAATGGATAAAGAAAATGTGGTATATATACACAGTGGACTATTACTCAACTCAGCCATAAAGAAGAATGAAATTATGGCATTTTCCAGCAAATGGATGGAACTGGAGACAATCATGCTAAGTGAAATAAACCAATCCCAAAAAATCAAAGGCCGAATGTTTTCTCTAATATGTGGATGCTAACCCACAACAAAGAAGGATGGGGAGGGGAAGAGTAGAAGTCCATTAGATTAGACATAAGGGAAACAAAGGGAAAGGAGGGGGAGGGGAATAGGAAGGACAGGAGAATTAATCAGACATAACTTTTTTAGACTTGTATTTGAATACATGACCAGGGTAACTCCACATCATGTACAACTGCAAGAATAGGATCCTAATTAGAATAAGTTATACTCCACATATGTATAATATGTCAAAATACATTCTACTGTCATGTATAACTAAAAAGAAAAAAAAAGATAAAGGAGAAAAAGTATAAAAAAAACAAAAACCAGGGCTGGGGTTGTGGCTAAGCGGAAGAGCACTCACCTAGCATATATGAGGCCCTGGGTTCAATTCTCAGCACCACATAAAAATAAATAAAATAAAGGTATTATGTCCAACTACAACTAAAAAATAATTATTAAAAAAACATGATAATAGTATATATCATTCATTAATTTGTATATTGGTAGAATTGGAAGAAATTTACTGTTATAATGTAAATTAACCTCATATTTATTAGAAACAATATTTCATCCTGAATGTAGATGACTCAATCAACAATTCTCTGTATAAAGGGGTGGAATCAGCAGTTGGTCAAATCTGGGCCTCCCAGCTGTCTGGAACTGAGAGAAGAACATCACTTGTCTCCCAATGGGCCAGAAGATTTTTAGATGTTGTGGAATGCTGTAAATGGTACAACATTTACATTTTAAAGTATAGATTGTCTTTTCTCCATCGAGTCACTGAGCTGGAATTTTGCAAAGGAAAATATCTGCTGTCTCAGGAAGATTCAGTCCCAAACTCCCAACTCAAATAACATTTGAGTCCTGTTAAAAAAAAAAAGAAAAATTAAAAAGTAGTTAATATAAAAAATAGCTTAAATAAATTTTATTTTGTATTTATTTTACCACAATGTTTTAAAAATAGCTGCATCTTCTAAGCTGAGAACGATAATGTTCGGCAAAAAATAAATTCATGTTTCATCCCTCTGTCTCTGCCATGGAAATTGATAAAGATTCTTCACATGTGTAAACTTTATTCAGGTTCCTGAAACTTTTTCTAAGTCCACCTGTGTACTTCCTTATAAAATCCAGTCTTAGCAAAGAATTCTGCTAAGTCAGTTTAGCAAGAATTCCTCACCCTTGCTCTATCTGATCATTTTCTGCTGTGATCAGGTTCCTCATCCTCATCATTTCCTAGATAATGTCTGATCCTCAGGCCTATCTTCAACACAAATCCATTAGATTAGGTTAGCCAGTATCCACCTTACAGCTGATGTTTCTTAGTAATATTCCTTCTATTGAGCCCTATCCTGTTCCTTGGCTATAAATTCTCACTTGCCCATGCTGCATTCAGAGTTTAGTCCAATCTTCTTCTGAAAACCTCTTTGCAGTGTTCCCTGTATCTACCACCATGAGCTGGAAAAAAGGTCTTCCTTACCTTGCTTTAAAAAGTGTCATTGAAGAATGTTTTTCTTTAACAAAATGCAAATGGAAAAGATCTTAGTGTTTAAGATGGGAACACTCTGCATTCAATGTCTGCTTTGGTGATTTACCAGTTGTGTGACCTTGAGCAAACTCTGTTGTTTATACACATTATTGGGCCACCAGGGTTTTGCCATGCTTGCTGTGGGAAATAATTGGGGTGCTACTATTTGTTTCATAGGGTTGTCATGAAGATTAAGTGAGACAGTATATGTAAAGTGTTTAACACAATTCTGAGCATTTGGTAAGCATTCCATGAATGGAAACTACTATTCTTGCTTTTTGCTTAGTCTCTGTCTTTCCAAATTTAAGAGTCACGTGAAGGTCTGGCAGGTTTTCTTTTTCAATTTTTGGTTGTTTTTCTCTGTGTGTGATTTTTTTGTTGTTTGTTTTTCTGTGTGAGCATAGTTGAGTAGACAAGAGTCCTTGCACATGGGGCCACTTCCTTGCAAGGTCATTATGTTCCCCAAGAGTATATAGCCAGGTGCCATGGGAGGCACGTGTTTGCAATTGAGAGGGAGTGTGCAAGTTTATCTATGTATATACAAAATACTGTTTCCTTAGGAGACTTCATTGTCAACCAATTAAGTCAAGAGTTATTTCCTCTTACTTATCGTAGTATCAACCAAGTTTGCTGAGTGGGAAGATAATTAAAGATTAATTGTCCAAAGGGATAATTTGTGTTCTAATTGAAGTCTCTTATCCCACTCAAAGGTTGTAGATATCAGAAGAAAATGTGATGACTGGTTATAAAAATTCTGGTCTATAGGTTGGTGTGGATCACCAGGCTCTTGTGTCACAAGGTCTCCCTGGTCTCCTGCTCCATCTTCACAGTCAGAGGTACAGAGACTAATCTTAGGTGCCCTTCACCTTGAGATACCATTTCTGCTGCCCTTTCAGAAAGGCCCTCTGCAGACTCATGGGAGCTAAAAAGACTTTGGGCAGGACCCCTGGGTTCTGACCAGCCTCTGCCACCAGTTTTCTTTATCTTGCTAGGACTCCAAGACATGGAATAGGATTCAGTCTGGTGCAATTGTTAAGAGCACAGGCATTAAAATCTGGCAAATTTGTGCTTAATATCTAGTGTTTCCACCTCCCACTGGGTCAATGTATGATTCTATGATTTCATTCTGAGCCTGTTTCCTCAGCCATGAAACATGAATTTTGGGGAAATAAAATTCCTTTTTCACCAGATTATTTATTGTGAACATTACTCAAGAACTTGGCATTTGAAAGCCCTTTGCATGATGCCTGACATAAAGTAATATTTAATTATTAATAATAGCTAATATTTATTAAACACTTATTCTGCCAGCCTATACAGGCATCAATCATATCATTGAATTCTCACAACAACACAGAATGGTAGACACTATTATTAGCCCCTTTATAGATAAGGAACCTGAGATATTTACCCATGGTCACACAACTAACAAGGGGACAATTTGAGCTCAGGTACTCTGACTCTTACACTGTCATTATTGATATCACTATAAGCAAGAAAAATCATGAGTGCCTCCCTCCAACTGTGGAATGAACTGCTCTGTCCTCTGATTCTCTTCAGATCCCTCTAATGTTAATGTACCTCATTTCCCCCAGTTTCACTCCTGAATTTTAGCCACTATTCATTTATTCATCCGACAGACAAGCATTGAGCAGCTACTTTGTGTAAGGCTCTGTGGTTGGCCTAGATTAATCAAGGTCCTTCCCTTCACATTGCTGAGAATTGAAGAATGAAAAGAACCAGTCATTCGAGAAGCCAGAGGAAGAGTGACATCTGGGGACCTAAGGGGGCATAAATTAGAGGAAACAGAAAGGCAGAGCAGATGAAAAAAGAGAAGGAAGAAGGATGGCATGAGATGACCCCTTCCCTTGCTGGAACTCAGACTTATAATTCACACACAATCTGAGCCCCTTAAATATAATATGTTCAAATTAAGACACATTATTTTTTCAAACTAAATTTCTTCCTCTTCCCTGATCAGCTGCTGCACAAATACTTGCCCAAGCTAAAGACCTGCTAAACATCTTCTTGAATTTATCCTCTACTTTCTACTGGCCTTGACCTTTACCTTGGTTCAAACCATATCATCAGTCACATGAGCTGATGGGTTGCAAATGTGCACATCTGACTGACCCTCTAACTGCCTCCCTGCTTCCAATCACTTCCCCTGCTGCCAGATACTCTCAAAATTAACACATGAACATATAATTCCCTGGTGTGAAAATCCTTATGATTCATTTAGTCTCAGAATGACACCTAAACTCTAGTCATTCACATGCCTCAGAGTACCAGCCATACCTGATTATTCCTTCCTACTCACCAAGAACAGGGCAAGCTATTTCTTCTACTTGAAATTCATTTGTGGCTCAGTGGTAGAGCACACCTTGGTTCAATCCCCAGGACTGCAAACAAATAAAAAAATTAAAAATGAACATAAAGTACTAGAGTTCTATGAACCTAATGACCTCTCAAAAAAATTAACAGCAGCTAAACTTCTCATCAAATGTGTTTCAAGTGCTTGTTTGGTTATATGTCTATCTCCCCAAGAGACTACTCAGAGGATTTAAGATTCTGTTCTGTTGAGCACGATGCCTGCTACACCACAGGTGCTCAGTAATTATTTGTTGAATGGATGCATGCATGAATGAAAATTGATAAAGAGAGCACAGAAAAAAAATCAATGAGTCTAGCAAGGACCAAAGACTGATCCAGCAAAGGACCATCCTTAGTCTCATTAACACAAATTTAGGGTCTGCAAGGCAGCTTGGATGCCAAGAACTAATAAAAAGTTAACCTTGCCTTGCCACATGGGAATCCCAGATTGTCAGAGCTAACTAAAACCCAGGGTGATACTAAGGCCTTGAGACAAATGATTTGTCCAAGGTCCCCTAACAGGTGTCAACAGAGCAGGAATGGAAGTTAAGACTCCTGCCTACAGGTCCCAGAAACTTTCATATAGGCCAACATTCATCCAAAGTTCAAAAGCAAGAGAATCAAGATCATCTTGTACACAGGGGCTCAAAAAGAAGGTACTCCTTATCTCAAATTTCCAAATGCATAGCAGTCTCTGTTATACTTTGGATTGTGCCTCCCATTGCCCATCCCATAACAAATTAAAATAACAAAATCCTAACCCTCAGTTGCTCAGAATGTGACAATTGGACATAGAGTTATTACAGGAGTGACCAAGTTAAAATAGGTCATTAGGGTAGTATCTAACTCAATGTGGATGGTATCTTTATAAAAAGAAGAAATTTGGATATGGAGATACACATATATGAAGAATAACAAGCCTAGAGAACAGAGCCTTCCATCACAGCCCTTAGAAGGAACCAATCCTGACAAGACTTTGATTGCAGACTTGCAGCTTCCAGAACTGGGAGACAGTCATTTTCTATTGTTTGAAACACTCAGTTTGTGGTACTTTGTTATGATAACTCTAGAAAACTAATGCAAGCTCTCTATAGTAGTTGTTTTTAAAGTGTGGTCCTTGGACCAGCAGCATTAGCATCACCTGGGATTTGTTAGAAAAACAAGACCTCACACATGTAGGCAAGCGCTCAATCACTGAGTTAGATCCCCTGCTTCATACTGCTTTTTAATAAGGAAAGGTGGGGGGGGTGTATGCTCAGTGGTAGAACACTTGCCTAGCAAGTGCAAGACCCTGAACTCAATCCCCAGCACTTTCCAGAAAAAAATAAAAAGAAACAAATCTGCCTGGTTTTAAAACTAAACTCCAAACCTACACATGAGATTGTAACGGTTGTGTCTCCCTGTGCACTCTTATCGTTTTGTAGCATTAAATAACTTCATGCTTTCTTTCCCTTTCAAAACTGGCTCTCAGAAGAAGATCTGCTCACCCTGTTTATAATGAATTTTCATCAGTTGATTACAGTTTTCTATGAATGCTCCTCCTTCTAAGTCAGAACAGCTTTAGGATAAAGACAAGGCCTATAGCTATAAGTACAAAAGTCTTCCAGTGGCTATCCATTACCCAGGTAGGAATACAAAGGGCTTTCTTATGACCCCTGAAATGCCTAGGCCCAGGGACTACCTACCTTGATTTCTTGCAGAAACCTAGCATGTTTGCAAACCTCAGCTTTGTACCCCCAAACAATCAACAAGTTTACATAACTACACTAATAAGGCAGGATTCAAATTTTAACATTAGCCAACACTATATAAAAGCCCCCCAAAACCAATCCACTTTCCAGACCCAGATAAGGTTCCAGAAAATGTCCAAGACTCTGGTCCCCAGATATCTGAGTTCAAGTTCCTGCTTTGCCAATTAACTCTCTTTGATACCTCAGTCACTCTGTTTGTTCTTTCCTGGTCTCCATTTTGCCTCTGAAACAGGATCAGTCTTGGTCAGGGTGACCTCCAAGGTCCTCCCTAGCTCTGCTCTGGACTGCTCTGGATTCTCAGGTTGTGTTGCATACACCTGGGATGGGGTCCAAGAATTCCTAAAGGGGTCAAAAAGATTAACCATTGGGCTGGGTCAGTTCCAGGAAGGACTAAAAAATTAACCTGGTTACTCTTGTTTTCTCCTTTTTATTAATCTTTACCACGTATAACTCTGGTGAGGCATCATTTCTCTCCTATCTCCACTGTCGAGGTGCCATCCCCCTACCCTCCCACAAAGAGTGCTGCATTCCCCACCCCTAGAACTTTCCCTTCCCCCTATCATATTCTGCCAATCCTCACTCCTGCTGTGAAACCCTCCCTGATTCCCCAAGGCCCTGTAATCACAGCTTCCTCAGATCACCTTGGTATATGGTCCTATACCCATTATATAGCTGACCTCTTAGGGTCCTAGGGACCATCTCCTATTAGCATCTTCTGCTTGGCTACTCCCCTTGGGATTTAAAACCATTCTGTGTTCGATCCTTGTCCTGTGAGCCTGGTTGGGCCAGACACAGGTTCATTGAGGAGGATATCTGAACATTTGAAATGCTTTTCACTGAACTGAAAACTAACAATAATAAGCCCTGGCTACTAGGAAACGTTCTTAAGTATTCAAAGCAATACTTCTCTTGTAGCTCCTTGGATCCTCCTGGAATCACTTGAAACAGGCTGAAAGTTTAACAAATGAGAATCCAGAGCTCATGGAGGTGAAGCAATTTGCTTAAGGCTGGATTGGCAAATTGACAGTAGAGCCTGAAACACATTCCAGAGTTCTTCCCTCCCCATCCAGGGCATTAGAGTGTACACCATGTGGTGAAATCATAACTTTACCCTCCTTTTAAGAAACTGCAGCTTGGGTCTGCCTCCCTATGAACATATAAAAACACATACACACCTGCACATATGCATGCATACACACAAGTCATAAAAATCTTACACTGGCTCCAGCCTGATTGAGGCTTCATCCTTTTAGAATCTAAGACTGTTTTTCTCCCTCTATTAGTATCATTCTTTTAAAAAATATTTTATTGGTGCATTATGGTTATACATAATAGTGGGATTTGTTTTGGCATAATCATACATGTGTAGAATATAATTTGTCCCATTTTAGTCCCCAGTACTTTCTCTTTCCCGCCTTCTATTTCTCTTCCTCTCCTGGTCTTCCTTCTGTTTTTTTATTGCTATTTTTAATTGGTGTTCTTTAGATATACATAAATGTAGAATTCACTGTGGTATATTTATATATGCATATAGCATAATTTGGTCAGTTTCATTCCACAGTTCCTCTCTGTTCCCATCCCTCCACCCTCCTCCTCGATTCCCTTCCTCCACTCCACTGATCTCCCTTCTTGGGAAGAATAACCCAGGGCAGTTCCCAGTGAGCTCACAATGCATTTTCTCAAAGATTTTGCAAGGAGCCAGGAAATGCTACACTTGGCCCTCTGTGCTCTGGTGAACTCCCCTCAGCCCTTCCCTCTTCTCCCTTTGCAATGACTTGCCTATCAGGGAGAAAAGAAGGATGAAACTCTGGAGTGTGTATTAGTTTGCTAGTATGACCTTAACAAAATACCACAGGCTAGGTACTTTAAACAACAGATTTATCTTCAGTCAGTTCTGGACGCTAGAAGTCCAAAATCAAGGCATTGGCAGGTTTGAAGTTTCCTTCATTCTCTCTCCTTGGCCACTTCCTCACTTGTCCTCATGTGATCTCTCTTCTTCGTTCTTGTATCCTTGATATTATTATGTGTGTCCAAATCTGTAATCTTCTAATCTTCTAAAGATGTCAGTCAGATTGGATTTGGTCCAATCCACATATTTCATTTAACCTTAATGATTCCTTTGAAGGCCCTAATTTCAAGTACAGTTATGTTCTAAGATAGTGAATGTTAGGATTTCAACATATGAATTTAAGCAAACATTCCATCACACGGTGAGAAGTGGACTTCCCAGTAGAAATATTGCTTTTTCCCCTGTCAGGTATTCAAGAAACCATATTATCTCATCATAGTCACCACCTATGCCACTTAATAGGATCATGCAGGAATCAATACATTTACATGCTTATTCATATGCACATAACTATTAGGTGCAGGTGTGTATGAACAAATGAATTTATCCTAGTGTGTTTTGAGTGTGTGTGTGTTGTGTGGATATGATGTGAACATGCATGTGTATTTTCAGGTACCTTTCTGCAAATGTGTACATGTGTGTGGATGACTACATGGGTGGGCATAAATATTTTCTCATTCACCATTCACTCATCAGTTCAACAAAGATGTGTTCATGCTATAGTCACTGTAGAAGATTCTAGGAATAAATAAAACAAAGTGTGTGGATGGTGCACACCAGAATACATGAAGGTTAGACTTGTTTTTCAATACTGTGTAGGTGTCTCTGAAATCTCTGCACATATGTATGTATGCATCAGTGCCCACATCAAGCTTGGAGAGTTCCTGACTACATAAGTAAAGATATATCTTCTGTCACACTAAAAGATCCTGCTGTGGGTTCTTTCCCCCAACTCTACGGATCAGATTCAAGCAGCCTTCCTGGAAGCCTGAGGCAATTGAAGCATCCTCTGTCCACTGCTCTCTTATGTTGGAAGCCTAGAATGCTGGGTCCCAGCCACTCTGCCCTCCCCACCCATAGGGTGGTGAAGCATTTCCCGATAAGAGGGGACCCAGAGTCCAGGCCACTGGGAGCCACCACCTGAGCTTCACGTGGTTTTATGGTTTCACAGTTAATGTTTTGCCTTAGGTTATTTCTGCTTTAAGAGTTCAGCCAGAAAAGGCAGGAAAGAGATGGGGGCAGGGGAGATAAGGTGCCAGGTCACCTGCAGGAGGCACTTGCCTTAGCAGTCACCTCTGGCACCACAATACTTGAAGGGTTCCAGGTATACCAAAGGAGGGAGCCGCCCAAACAGGGAGAGAACAAGGGCTTCTGGGAACAGGAGTGGAAAAGACAATCATTTGCAAATTGATCCAGGAGCCCAGCATCCCCTCTGCCACTTCCTAAAGAGCCTAGGAATACCCTCTACTAATAGCCAGCCAGCCTGTGCTTGGTCTCCCAGGATGAGTAGCTTACTACTCCCAAGATGCTCTCTTAAAAGTTTTCCTTTATACTGAGTACTTCCATTCATTGATTCTGCTTTCCCTCTCAAAGAAATTAAATATCCCTAGGAATAACTGTCCTTAAATTAATGTGTCTAGAAGATTCCTCTTTTAAATATAAATAAATGACCTGGGAAAACATTATTACTTGATAATTTGAGTGCTCCTTCTTCCCATTTTAAGGCTTTTAAATCTCTAGGAACAGGAATAAATGAAATATAGGTAAATATAAAAATATTATGCTATGTGTATATTATATACATACATAAATGTACTTTATACATATTTATGTATCAATATCATAAAATATATATTTTACATGTATATTTATATATATAATATATATGTACTATATAAATTGTATATGCCACCAGTTATTATTTACAATATTTCTACATACACTCTTTCTTAATCTCCCCTATACCACAGAGCATTAGTATCTCTATTTTATAGAGGAAAAAAGTAAGGGATTAAGTACTTTGAGTGAGACCTCCCAGTTAATGAATAAAATTCAAACCAAACCAACGTCATTCTGATTTTAGGCCTGTCTTCTTAAGTGCTGCTCTACATTCTTTCCTATGCCTTGAATATAGTAAGTCTAAAAAATGCTTAACAAGTTATTTAATAAATTAATGTACTAACTTATCCATTCCCAATAACACACAGCATGAGTGAGTTTATCACATCAGTCAGCTTTATCTGGAGTGAAAGGTGAATTTTCATGTGAAGAAAAGAAACAGTCTGGGGCCTGGTCCACTTCCCGGAAGTCAAGGTCTTTCAACTTCAAGGCATTCTCAGAGTAGTTGTGTCAGGAGATGAATGAAAATAAATGCAGTAGGCTTCTGAGCTTCTCCCCCAAATCACTATTGCTCTGAGTCCATAGAAGAATCTGAGTCTTTAACCTAGAAATCTTTTATCTTCCATGTTCTCTCTTCCATCAATATCTGCTCAAATGTCACCTTGTCCCTACAGCTTATGCTCCCATTCATTCCCTCAAGGCAGAATTATTTCTCCTTCATTTGTGTTCCTGTTGCCTTTCATAAATACCTTGAGCACAACACACCACACTTCATACTGCATTTATGTGTTTAACTATCTAGCTCCTAGGCTATGAGATCCTCAAATGCTGGGCTATTTAGTCTTTGAGCCTAGCACAGTGCCTTGCAGAGTCAGCATTCAGCAAATGTATGCTATGAGTGAGTCAGGGAGTGAGTGAGAGAGAGAGACTAGAGAAAGTGAGAGTCATCTTGCAAAAAGGAGAAACCCCTGAACCCAAACCATACCACAGTTTGTTAGTATCTTACAAATGATATACAGGTTGTTATCACCATTGTGCTCCTGCCACAACAGTTGGCATGGCAATTCTCTCTTTTTGCCAGAGTCCTCCAGAGACCTCCTCACAATTCCTAGTAAAAACTGAATCATGAATCATCTGCCAGGTACTTTCACCAATCCAGCAGCCACTAAGGTAGAGGATTCCTTCATCACATCCCTCTTCTCCACCTCAACAACTCTCTCACTCTGCCTAGTGAACCCAGAGGCACCCCTAGCACCCTCTGAGGTGTCAGAGCAGGAAATCAGGGCCGAGGGGCAACTCCTTAGGGCTGACCTTCCCATGATCTCATAAGTGCTTCCATCATGGGTTTAAACAGTCAATAATTCACCAGCCTGTAAAAGATACTAATGGAGTAGAAAAACTTTCTTTTATTACTTTTCCAATCATTTGCTGTTGACCTACTATGGACCAGCACAGCACATGGTATCTGATAAGATTATCACACTGAATTCTCAAGATAATAATTCCCTATGAGATAGATATTATCAGGGCCATAATAGGAATTTGGTGGACCCTAGGCACTGTTACTTCAAAGGCCCCTTCCTCCATTAAAAATACTAAAAATTCTATTTCATAATTTCACTGGCATAAAAATACTAAGATTGTCCTAATATTGTATATGAAGACATTTTCTTTGATGTAAAAGTTCACTTTTTATTCTTCTTTGAAATTGATACCTTGCACAAGCTCCTAAAAATATCACATGACCTAGAAGGGCCTCCTATGCCCATCATTTTACAGATAAAAAAAAA